TTTCAGTTATACCGCAAATAAAATTTGTAGTCATAAATAATTTCAGTATGCAATTGAATTATTTACACGTTTATATATTTAATAACTTTTTCAATTTTATATTTATCGAACAGTTTCTTATATGAATTATCTTTTCGATAAATATAAGTGTTATCAAAATATAAGGAAACTGCAGGTCGTCCTTTCCACTTTTCAAGGAATGTTTCTAAAGTTTTTAAAGAAAACTTAATGCCATAAGAAATTCTAATTTCTCTTAGATTTGTTGACGCTTCACTAATTAACACATTTGACAAGTAATCTCCAAATTCTAACTCTCTCCCTGCTTCATATGCTTCTTTAAAATTTAATGATCGTAATTTTTGACATTTTTTAAGTAATTTTTCAAATTCAATAAAGTGTTCCTCTAATGATGGAAATACAGGAATTGTTAAATATTCAATTAAAAGACAATTTTTACAAATTGTACGAATAAAATTAAGAGAGTCATTATAAAAATTATCATCATTCCAGTGAAAATCATTAATCCTTAATTCTCTAAGACATAAGCTATTTTTAACCATGCAATTGATTTGATAAATATCTATAAAATCTATCTCTAGGATCTCAAGGTTACGATAAGCCACCATTTCCAACTTTTTATTGAAATCATCATCATTTAAAAATATAGGAGAATCAATTTCTAATATTTTTAAATTATGAAGTTCTAGAAGTGCATATTGTAGAAATGTATAATTATATTCATTGTAAATATCGTAAAAATCCAAATAGTAATCGTTATACTCATAACGAAGGTTTATATCAAAATGATTAAGAGTATTTGCATGTTTTTTTAATATGTTAAAAATTTCTGTGTATGGGTCTTCTAATACATCCCAATAATAAATGCCATCTTCTACTTCAATTTCATCTACCCATTTAAAATATTTTAAATTTTTTTGAAATTCGATTAACTTAATAGTTCCCTGATTAGCTTTTAAGTTTTTGTTAATAATGATAATTCTTTGTATTTGTTGACAAATATGCGCTAATCTGTAAAAGTACCTAGAATCAATCAATGTGTCACATGTTAATTCACAAAGTGATTCAAGACGAACCTTTGCTTCTGGAAGATATACTATCTCATAGGTACCACATATATTTAAGTACTTTATTTCTGGAAATTTCTTTACCAATGAACTGTAAATTTCCTCTTGTAAAAGAAATCGATTATATTCTAATGATGATCCAATGGAAATTATATCATCTATAACTTTTATATTGATATTCTTACAGAAAGACAAATAATCAAATGCAAGTGATTGGCCTAAAATTAGAATCCCTCTCTTTGTTAATAATTCTTTAATATCATCGAATAAATAAGAAGTAATAATGAAGTATAAAGAAATTTTTTTATAATTAATAGAATAGCGCCAAGGATTCCTCCATAAGATTGGAATCACGGTTTCACACCATATTCTATTAACCATTAGGCATGAAAAGAGATATTTTGAATTATTTTGTAATTCCTCAATTATCAAGAAAAGTATATCTTTATCAAGTTTGGACATTTTTTTTTTTTTGAATAAATAAAATGAAACAAAATAAAAATAATAAATAATGAAGTACGTTTTATATAAAACTCCGATGTGTGACCATTAAATGTTTCATCGGAATATATATGGTAATAAATGTGGGGTCAGAAAAACAGTTACACAGTTTAAAATTGGAAGTTTAAATAATGTAGATCAATTAGTAATTCGGTTGATAAAAGTGAAGATCAATGAAATCTATAATTGTGTAGCATCTCGTTTATAAAAAAAAAAATAATCAAGTACAAAATACAAGGTTATTTTATATATACTGAATTTCTTCCTTTTTTGATTGGTCGACAGTCTTATTAGTATTCTGATTGGCCCATTGGTTACACTATTTTTCAGCCGGGGTTGTAATACAAATTTGTTCACCAATTTGTATAAATAGCAAGTATATTTTCAATATATGAAGCAAGTTTATAATTCAAATATACTTCGGAAAAAAAAATTCGGGCAAATTAGCTCAAAAACCATTTAAGGGGTTATTAATTTACAAAAATAATTTCCCAAAACGTATCAGTAGCTTCACTGGTACGGAGACGGATCACGAATGACGAATTAATAATTATTAATTACCGCAAAATCATTTCAATTGCTAAATTCTTTCATATTTTATTTTGTTATTTAACATCATATTTGAATTAATTATTGTATCTACTGTAAAGAGATTATAAAGGGTAATATAATAATCATGCTCAAGGTACTAGATGTTTTCTGAAGATGAAGCAGAACTTTAAATAATTTCATTGTTGAACAGTAGTTAAGAGATTAAAATTAAATTATAATAAATTAGATATTAAAAAATATTATTTTATTAGATAGTAGAAGTATTCATGTTTTACAAAAATTAGAAACTGAGATATTATTTTAAATCTTTATTAACTGCTCTCGCTCATAATTCATAAATCATATAATTTATAAATCATAATACATATGTATATAATTAATGTTTCTAAATTCCATACCGTGGTTTTCAAACAGTAATATTTATTTAAACGTGTAATTTAATAATGTAATTGAATAATCTACACGTTTATATTTTAATTACTCCTTCAATTTTATATTTATCAAACAGTTTCATATATGAATTATCTTTTCGATAAAAGTTAGACTTATCAAAATATAAGGAAACTGCAGGTCGTCCTTTCCACTTTTCAAGGAATGTTTCTAAAGTGCTAAATTTTCGGATAAACCTGTACTCCCGGTGAAAATAATGGCGTGAGTATTCGTTTCTCACTATTATGGTTAGATCACATCATATTGTATTTTGGTCACAGGACCAACCGATTGGATGAAAATGTAATATTTTATTTTTATCCTATTGTTGATTCTATTTCTTTGTAAGGAAGAAAGATTTTCTAAGTAGATTTATACGAATGTATTTATACATATAAAATCAGAAGCCACAACGTTAATGCTTAAAATAACAAAGCCCCACGAAAGTAAAGATCTCATTCATCTATCAAATTTTAATTTTAAATATAATCGTGGCGCAATTCGTTTCACTAACGTTCTTTCGCACCACCACCACCACCTCCTACTCATGGATAAAAAATTATAATCACAATCTTAACCTAAAACACAATGTAATATAATAAATTTTATTTAATGTTAAAAATATGAAAAAAATATATTTCATATAAATAATAATAATTACTGCCATTTATCACAAAAGTCATGTGGCGTGAAAAACTGTGGCTGAGATTTTTGATTATTTATTATTTGTAACAAGCTAAACTACATGGCTTGGCTTATTTTTTATATGCATAAACTCATTGAGATGAATCCAATGAGCTCTTAAAGAATTTTCAGTTTGCAATATTAAAACAATTTTTTATAATTTAAAGGCGTAATAAAACAACTGATTAAGCAAAGCCTCAAACTTTACAATCTTTACCATCAAAGTGTCGAGATATTTACGTTGTGGTATTTTCTTGGCAATTTCTGCAAAAAATTTCTAATTTTTACTTGAATCGATTATCTCGTCATACAACGTGTGATCCTCCAAATTTTATTTCGATTCCGGTGGTATCAGTTCGTATGCAATAAATTGTACACCACTCGGTAGATATTTTCGAAAGCGTGAACATGATTTTTTGGACAAGCTTGGGGTTGCGTCTGAATTGTTTGTTATAAAGAACTTCGCAAAAAAATAGAGGAGTTGGATAAAGAGGCGGGGAAGAAATAGAAGTTCAAGATTTTGCAATACTAATAAATTATCAGGAGTTCACGTGCCTAATTATTAAATTACGTAATGCAAAATAATAACAATTAATAACAGCTACTCAAGTTACAAATCTAACTGGACCGGTAAACGGGGAGTATATCATCTTTTGCAATAGTTGACTCTTAGACCAATAAAATAAGTTTAAAATTTCGAATACCGGTAAATAGAATTGCAAGAGTTGTTTGAGGATTACGCAAATTTGATGACGAGAATACATTGTTCTTATTTGTTAATTCTGCTCCAAATTTAAGAATAGTTTATGATCTTATAAACTTTTCGAATTAAGATTATCAACAGAATATTCTACTCATAGATGTTATATACCATTTTATCGTCCATAAACAAATAAATAAATATATTCATATATATTAATATAATATGAAACCCCCCAAAAAAAATATTCTATGTTTAAAAGTAACTTATGTATATTATCGGATATTAATATAACAAAGAACTTTCTATAAAACTTCTCTGGTAATCATAATTATAAACATTATTAAATTACATATGAGATATGTTTTGAATGCCTGTGATTTCAATTATAAACCCCAAAAAGTATTTATTATAATAGTCACGACAAACAAATGAATAAGCCTCACGAAACGTTCTGCCAAAAAAAGATGATTTTGTTTTGATTATATCGCCAATGAAATGTAATATTAGAAATCAATTGTACGAAAAACAATAAGTAATTACAACAATATGTTATTAAACCCTAAATCGTAATAGGGAAAAGACGAAATAAATAGTGTTTAACTTTTACCATCATTTTATTTTTAGCCGATCATAATCATCTAAATTTGATTAGATCAACAATTTTGATTTTAGAATTACCAAAATAGGTTTGGATTTTTTTTCTCGTACATAAAAAGATAAGATCATTTCTAATTTTAGAATATATATCTTTATTACTGAACAATATAAAAGACGTAGTTATTTTTAAATCTTTTTTTTTTCCGTAAACAGAAACGTCATAACAAAACTAATCTAAATTAGGAGATTTATTGATTTGGAAATTGAATTCCGATTTCAATAAAATTAATTTTCAATCGATTCGCTTGCTAAAATTCAAATCATAAAAAAAAAAACCTATAAATATGCCCTGAATGAGTTTGATGATTTTGCAATTACTTTAACTCCTTTTCATTTCAGAAAATTTGAATTCTTTTTTATTTAAAAAAAAAACTAAGAATTTTAAAAATATGGGTAAAAATATCGTCGTATTGAGTGATGGTACTTGGAATGATCCAAATTCCAAATCCAACGTTTATATGTTGCACAAAGAATTAATCGAGCGAGATTACCAACAACATGTCGCTTATATGGACGGAATTGGAATTGGTGAATTGGCCTTGAATTTTGTCTTAGATGGTGCCGTAGCTGTAAGTCTTGGTAAAAAAATCAAAGAAGGTTACAAACATATAATTACTCATTATAATCCTGGTGATGATGTATGGCTTTTTGGTTTTAGTCGTGGTGCTTACACAGTGAGATGTATTTCTGGAATGATACGAAATTGTGGAATATTGAAAATTGATCGAGATACCACACCTGAACAAATTGATAAACGTATTGATCTAGCATATGAAATCTATCGTGATAGAAATATGGCTTATCACCCGGAAGGAAGTGGTTCTGATGACTTTAAAAAATCATTCTGTTATCCTGATTCTAAAAAACCAATTATAAAATTTCTTGGACTTTGGGATACTGTTGGTGCTCATGGTATACCAGGTTATACAATTGGAGAAGGTTTTAAATATTTGGAATTCTATGACCAGGTCGTACCTAATGTAGTTAATTTTGCTTGTCAAGCTTTAGCCATTCATGAAAGAGTTTCTTTCTTTGAACCTTGTCGTATACTTCCAAATAATTCTAGTAAAAAAGTTACTGTCAAAGAGACTTGGTTCCCGGGTATACATGGCGAAATAGGGGGAGGAATCAAAGGCAATGAAAGAATATCTAATGCAACTCTTTTATGGGTAATAGAAAATATCGTAGAAGTTGGAGGTTTATTAATGCGAGATGATATTGAGAGTTATCGTACTCGTTTCTCTCCGGATTCCGGTCCTTCTTGGGACATTAGAAATCAAATATTTGATCGTAGAAGTGACCTTGTTCCAAAGTCTATGCTTAAAGATAGAGTTATTCCATTAGAATTAGATCCTAGTCAAAAATTTTTAAGAAAAGATCTTCTTTACAGAGATGGTGATTGGTTGCTTCCATTTGGTACTAGATCTCATTTAAGTACTCATTATGCTTCGAATACATATGAAGAGTTACGTAAAGTTATAGAAACGAAAGGAATTAGATTATATAACAATGTAAAATATGATAAGGATGAAAATGAGAGGGATGTGAGGAGCCAATTATAAATACATAATTACTTTAAATTATCTTTTAGATTATAAAAAATACTTGAACAGTTATTTACAAATTTCATTTATTCTACATTTCAAATACATGGATTTTTTTTTAGCACTCAATAAAAATAATAAAATTTTCATTCAACTTAATATTTTTCTGATGCTTATTATATATTAGTTATGATTGCAAAAATTAAGCGCAAAACATTTTCATTAATTAAAATCACTATAATAGTTGCTTGTTACGTAAAAAAAACTAACCCTTGAATCTGACATTTGACTTATAGCCAAGGACGAATAAATTTGACATTAATTAAAAAATACATTATATTCAACTTAACTTTTCATGAACGATAACAGAATTTTAATAAATTCCTATTATACATTTTCACCCGAAACTTTTATGTCCGAATCTTCAAATGCGCGCCCTTTTCTATGATGAGTCCAAACAATCTTTCGTGAAATACCAACACAATATAATATTTCAATTATAAACATGCAAACCAATAGAAAAACGATAATTTCAATTCCATACCATTGCGTAATCAACATTATTAATGGAAGTATTAACATTTTCAATGAAAGTTTAAAATTTTATGCATTATGGACTAGTAGCCTCCCTCTGTAATCATAAAAAGAATAATGAACCTGTCTCTCAATTTTATGTCAAAACACGTCAACGTCCTTGAAATATTTATAATGTTCCTATACAATTGAACTAGAATTAGTAATCCGTTTCAGAGTGTACGGTTGAAGATAAAAGCATGCTAGAAGCGACACAACGGACATTCCATTCCGTAAGCAAAGTGGGCCAACATTTCGATTGCCACGTGATTGTGTTGAGTTCTTTCCCATTTAACATACAGTACTCTTATATACAAGGAACAGTCAAAGGAACGGTGTGAGAGTTATCATTCCGTATAAAATGTAACTTTCTCTCGGTATTTTAGGCAGCCCTAAACAAAGCTTGCCACTTCTACGGGATACCTGTCTAAGAGCAAGCATTTATTCGTAATCAAATGAAACCACTGTGACATTCTTTCATTGAATTAATAATTAATTGTTGATAAAATTATTTGAACGTACTCAGAATACGGAGATAATTTGAGTCTTGAACTTTATTAATTTTTAGTATAGTGTAACCTTGTACGAATTCAGATTTTTGTACTAATTTATGATTTGAAATATACATATATAATTTACACATTTATATATTTATAATAAATGTGCTAATTTAAACTAAATAGCTAAAATGCTGTGGATGAGTATCAAATAATTCATATTCTTTTAATCCATAAGTCTCTTCCATCTAAATTTTCGTAAACAAGATCTATGATAGTTCTTGAATGGCAATAAGAGCAAAAGAATTACAGATTCTTCAAATAAATTCCCATTTTCATATGTTTGAATTGACATTTAAGAAAAACTCCATATAAAGTACACCGATGCTGGGGACCAAGTCATGAGTGAATATTTCAGTTATTCACCGATTGAATAATAAGTATGTACAGTACTTCATAATCTGAAGTTATAATATTGCGTTAAAAAAAACTGATTTGAACATTTCAAATAAAGTATGAAGAACAAATTATTAGATTCAAACACCAGTACCCAATGATTAATATTAATTCACTAACTCAAATCGTATTAACTGAAATAAGTAAAGCTTTATCCTTCTTTAATAGAAGGTTGATTTGAGCATCTAAATTTACTTTAAATATAAATATAAATATAATCTTTAATTTTTATATAAAACTAAATAAATATGAAATATGGTAAATGTGACTATAAAAAAACAGAATCCTCATCAATCTCATTCGGAGGCCAAAAAATAAAAGTGTAAGAATTAAAATTATTTATCGACTTCTTACAAAGGCTAAACTATGACAAAATACACAAACACTTAGACATATTTTTCCTTCTTTGCGTTCTTGTATTCCCAGTAATTGTACCATAATTAGTTCTATCTTGCGTTCTTGTATTCCCAGTATTTGTACCAGAATTAGTTTTATCTTGCGTTCTTGTATTCCCAGTATTTGTACCAGAATTAGTTTTATCTTGCGTTCTTGTATTCCCAGTATTTGTACCAGAATTGGTTTTATCTTGCGTTCTTGTATTTCCAGTATTTGTATATAAACCAGGATTAGTTCTATCTTGCGTTCTTGTATTCCCAGTATTCGTATACAAACCATTAGTTCTATCTTGCATACTTGTATATATACTTTTGTTATTATTAAGTATAGTTCTATCTTGTGTTCTAACATTAAAACCATCATTATTTAAAAGACTAGATCTACCTTGCGTACTTGCATATATACTTTTGTTGTTATCAAGCTTAGTTCTATCCTGTGTTCTTACATTAGAAACATCAATTAAAAGACTAGATCTACCTTGCGTACTTGCATATATACTTTTGTTATTATCAAGCTTAGTTCTATACTGTGTTCTTACATTAAAACCATCATCATCTAAAAGACTGGATCTATCTTGTGTACTTGTATATGAACTATCTTGATTAAGATCAGACCGCCTCCCATAAATACTAGATCTCTCTTGTATTCTTGTATACGAACTATCTTCATTAAGATCAGAACGTTTTTCATATATACTAGATTTCTCTTGTGTTTTTATATACGAACTATCTTCATGAAGATCAGATTGATTTCCATAAATACTAGATCTCTCTTGCGTTTTCGCATATGAGCGATTCTCATAAAGACTATTATCATAAATACTTGGTCTCTCTTGTTTATTATCTTCATAAAGACCAGAACGTTTCCCATAAACACTAGATTTCTCTTGCGATTTTGTATACGAATTATCTTCGCAAAGATTAGATCGAATTCCATAAATACTGGATCTTGTATATGAGCTATTCTTATAAAGATTAGGTGTTGTTGTAATCTCAAAAAGATTAGATGTTCTTGTAGATAAAATATTTTCAAGATAAATAGGTTTGCAATCTTTCTTTACTTTAACTACTGACCAATTCTCAGATGGGGGATGTGTCATTTTCCAATGAAGTGATTTTAAATCATATAATTTACTAGTTTTTATCACAATCACGGTTTTAAAATTGCATCCACGCTTAATGGCTTCTTTAAATGCATAGAGCCGTCGGTTATCCAACGAATGCGTCTTACCATTTGATAAGGTACACACGCGAATAAGTTCAATTTTGTTTGGTGATAATACTCCACTCACAAGTTTCTTAATAGTGTCCTCAACAAGTAAACCATTTTTGAATTTTGGCCTGACACAACATTGGGAAAATAGTATCTGAAGTGGGTCTACTTCAACAAGCTGTTATAGGAGTAAAAATAATAAAACTAAATATAACTTCACGTTAATATTTAAAATTATAAAACTAAGAAATACTCACATCCATTAGAGACTCTGAGAAAAATAATAATTCTTTTGACAAATTCCAAGCAACTTCTTTTTAAAACAAAACAACAATATCAAAAAAGTTATAAAACCAAAACGAACTGTTTCACCACTTACGTATTCACAGGTGTAACATGTTTCAATTGTGGCGAAAACTATAAGCCGGTATGGAAAATGAAGAAATGTCCGTGGTTTGTTGTCATTTTTATTTCTTTTCCTTTTTTAATTTCGTTGTCGTTGTTCACTTGACAATGAGAGTTTCAAGAAAATTTTACTAATAAAGAAAAAGAAAAAGTGTAAAAAAAAAACCTTTGTAAAATTAATCCCTTGTGATAAGATGCCCATTTTGTAAATTGATTAAGTCAAATATTTAGCTAGTCCCGTACTACATAATGACTAATGTCGTTCCTTGGAATCGATCGAGATTTTATATAGCGAACTGGCTTCATCAAAATCATTGTCATATGAATGTCAAAATTCCAAGTAATTGATAGATCATCCAAACTTTTTAAAAACTTTTTAAAACATGAACTGTTCCTTAAAAAGAAAAAATTGATAAACTAATAATCCTATTGATCATGTTGCACAATTTTATTAACTTACTTATAGTACTTCTAGTCCTATAATGCACAAATGTTGATCACATTTTCTTTGTGTCACTTTATGAAACCGAATTTAGTTAATTTTCAGTTTTATATTTACAAAAACGTGTTATAATGAGTCAATAATTTATACTAGATGTAAATGTAAACGAGTGTTCAGATATGATTGGCCGACTTAATACATTCCCAGCTTGAGTAGACCATTGGAAAAATCCCACACTCGCTAATAATTGATGAAATTTCTTTGGATTGGAACTCAAAGATAAGAAAAAAAAATTGAGACAAAGTCCACATATCAACCTTCAAATTATAATTTATTATAAAAAAAACCAAACATTATGATAAGATAAGATATCTAGTTATCCGTTAATAAATTTCTTCCTCTTAGCTTCTTGTTTTTAATACCAGATGCGAAATTGTTATTTGCTTTTCTCTTATACTTTTTAATTTCTTTCGGCTTTACTTCTTTCTTATTCTCTTTAATTACTTCGGTATCTTTTTTTGCGATATTTTCTTTGACAAATCCATCATCAATTTTTTCTTTAATGAATGTTTGATTATCACCTTTTTCTGCAATTGTGAATTTATTTTCACTCTTTGCAAAATAATAATCAATTACATCTAAAGTAAATTTCTTCATTTCTTTTTCCATCCCATTAAATAACATTCCTGAATAATAAATCCCCATCATTTCATCAAAATTATCATTATTCATATTAAAATTATTAACATCAGGTAACAATTTATCCAATTTGAAATCTTTTACTACTTTAGATAAAAAATTTCTTGATATTAAATTATCAAAAATTTTCATAAATTCATCATTAGTTGAATTTGGAAATTTTAAATTTAATTCTCTCATCACAAAATAATTATATGCTCTATCACCATAAAAACGATAAAACTCATAATTTTTATTATTATTTTCATTATTATTATTATTATTATTTTTCATAGTAACATATTCGATAATTGAGGAACGTAATTTTTCATCATTAATACTTGGAAGAGTAATTACTCTAGTTTTAATCAAACGAGAAACTGTTTGTGATGGTTTATTTTGATGTATCAATGAAATAGAATCAATAGGGTTTAATCTCTTGAAAATATGAAACATGTTTTCAATAATAGATGTCAAAAATTTTTTTGTTATCATGTAGTAAAAAAAAAAAGAAAACAAAAGAGAAACGTCAACGATTACGCGTACAGTAAATGTAATGATGATGATCAAAAGGGCACGTGATATGAAATCACTTGATCGACAAAAATTAACGTATGACAAATACCCTAAAATGTACTCGAATTCTAAATTAAGAACCCTGTAATTATTTTAAAAAATAATTTTTATTATCATATGTTGTAAAGCTTGATATAATATTGTAAAACTCCTTGATATAACTGAACATAAGTATATCGGAATTGAGGTCTGGAACGGATTATCATATAACGGGATTTCTCGATATAACGGATTTTTGACAAATTTTACTAATGGTTCCATTATATCGAATTTTACTGTGTATATATGCTATACCGATCGATATATACTTTTAAAAATTCGATATAACGATAAAATTTTACTTTCCCACTATATGAGATATCGGTATAATTTGATATAATAATTTTTCAATGATTTTCATATGGATCCCAACATATCGTTATATCGGAGTTTGACTGTACTCTCGTAAAAAAATGAAATAATAACGCGTTACACTGTTACAGCTGTTTTCATAGGTTAAGGGACACACGGAATTTTTGTCTCTTGCTGAAAATAACTCGGAGATTAAAATAAAATAACCATACCGACTGTATTCGGATCAGTGCTCCGAATCTAACGATATAATTTTATCTTATTCTGAGTTTTACAGAGTATTGCCAAATGTTCCAAGTGTCTCTCGGCATATGAAAACAGCTGTAATGTTTTTATTGTCGCATTTCGGAATTCGGATCAAGAAAATAACATTTTTATCATACATAAAATGCATATTTTGACCGGTCAAGAAGGTACAATTTTTGAGTTTTCACATGAAAAAAGAGCAAATTCAGTATGAAACACTAGATGACTAGATCAATATAGGTTATTAAGTTTAAAGGACATTGTGCTATAATGAACAATTACATAACCAAAAAAAATTGCAATTTACATGTACGCAGATGAGCTATCGATATTCAATATTGTACAATGATTATGAAAAGCAAAATTAGCAAGATCATGCAATAAAAAAAATGATATCATTTTCATTCATTCAATTTATACATTAATAGCAATTTACAATGCCACATTTTTATTAATATGTAAGAACCATATAACCATATTTCATTCTTTTAAAAAGGATTTCAGCAAATGAATCCATTAAAAGAATTAAATATATTAATATAGTCAAATTAAATTATGTCGTGTATCGAAAATCATCATCATATTTAATTAATTTGTGAATCAGGATTTTTTTTCATTGTTAATGAATATTAAGTAAGCCAAAAGCAATTAACTTCATTATTCTCAATTAAGTAGCATAATTACGAGTATTATTAATATTAATTTAAAATATTATATATGATGCCTTATCTTTATCCGCAATATCTTGTATATTATACAATTTTCGATAATTGCGATAAGCTTGAATGAATACAAATTATTTTGTTTTTTTCAACCAAAAAGAATAATAAAATAACGCCAACGGGAGCTGGTATTTTATTATTCCTTTAACGAAATCTGTGGTCAGATCAATCAAATAAAGTTTTGCTCGGTTCCTGCAAACGGCTTAATTAAATTTTATGATAAAAACCTTAAACAAGTCAAGTAATGGAAATAAATTTCTCAAAAAAGTATAACATATAAGAATTATGATGCGCTTTATCAAAGAGATCGCGAAGTTATCGATATAATCACAAGGTAAAAAAAAAGATTTCATTTTCCTTTCTTTTGTAATCTTTTTGAGGAAATTTTAGGCGTGTGAACATCTTTAACATCTTTTAAAGACGTCTTTTTATCGATTTACTAGTCTCACTACTTTTAATTCTAAAAATATTTGTACGAATAAAAAAATAATTTTTAGAACAATGTGGAATTTTGGTTATACCCTATTTCCTATTAACAAGAATTATAACTAATTAGATACCTATATAAGTTATGATTGACGATATGGTTAAACACTATATGGACCATTATGGGAAGCTGAACAAAGCAACTATATTTTGAATGAATTATTATTATTGTGAGACAAATAAATGTATCACAACGACGGTTCAAGTTCTTGTGCCCATAATTAAATTTTATAATGAAAAAATGTATTTGACCAATCAAAGAATCCAGAATTGTGATATTCAAATTTAGACTTTAAATGGTTACTATAGCAGATAGTGCATAATTCCGTCAATTTTTTTTAAAAAAATAATGATTGACCGTAAGAAATTCTTTATAAAGAAAATCTTTTTTTTTTTCGAATGATATTAATATTTATTTAACAATTTCATTATCAGGTAAATCAAAAATATCGGTGAAAAATTAATCTATTGTGAGCAGACAATTGTAAGGTTACACGACCAATGGGATAAATCCAAATCTATTTTAAGGTATCTCTAATGAGAACTTTAGTTCGAAATTTAGATTCGAGTATCTAATTTTCGAACTAAAGTTCATCCTTATTCGTTAAAATATGAACAAATTCCGGGTAATCAAGATCTTTTTTCTTTATCAGCGAATTCCTCGTGCTAATAACAATAAACTGGATGTTAAACCGGACCATGTTGATTACTTTATCTTTGCCATCAGTGACTGTTCTCACAGTTCACAATCCGAACTTTATCAATTACTAAATACAGGCATCTCCCCTGTTACATTAAGATAATGCGACTTTATGTTTGTTTCTTTTCTCATTACCGAATATTAAATACTTGGAAAAAAAAAAAATTTTTTTTTTTTATGCGAAATAATGTAGGTTAATGCGGATAAAATTCGGATGCGAATAATTTTTACCGTACACCGGCTTTCGAAATTTAGCGTATTATCGGTCATAAACAATAAGAGAGCAACACATAACTTCGTAAATGGGAATCTAAAATATATAATCGTTATCGATTGTGATCAGTTTGAATTTTTTTATAATGTGAGCAAAAATGCTGTTTATTCAATCTCTAATTGTTTGATAAGAAATTTTTTGTATATAAACACATAGTATTGACCTTCTATCTTACTTCTTATCCTTTTCTTTTAAAAAAAAAAATAATAAAAAAAAAAAAAATAATAATAATACTAAAAAAAACTCAATAATAATGACTTCAAATCAAACATATTTACCCCCTAAAATTAATGGGCTTGAAACACGACTTGCTGAACAAAATCAAGTTGAAAGACGACAAAATGCAGATAGAATATATAATGTACTTATCAATAATGAAGACAACGAGAAACGCATTAAAAATCTTCCTCGACAATCAATTTCGGATCCACTATGGGATCAATTTTTTAACGGGTTTAAGTTCTATTAAAATGAATTATATTGTCCTTTATTATTTTATCAGATGTAGTTAGTGTGACATAAATGTAAAATATTTATATATTATATATTTTCTTTCTTTTGTTATAATGTAAATTTCCCTTCATTGAAATAATGTAAATTATATAAATTATATAAATATTAAATAAAATACTGACATCTTAGTTACACAATGTATAGTTTTTTTTTTTAATTCCTCAAAGGAATTAAATTAAAATCCGATATTAAATAATGACCAAATATTTGCCCATTTATTAGTTATCAATTCAATCTTAAAAATTATTTGTTTGATTTGATTTAAGTGGCGCGGCTATTAGCTCGAAGTGTAACGAAGGACTATCCTATGCAAGGTGATACGAAGTCTGTCCCTGTAAATCAATAAAACTTCGGAAATTGGCATCTTATCCTACTTACAAGTTTTGTCTACTACGCGTTTAAGAACGGTTTATCTAAATCTTTTAGAGTTTGTAATTTCAAAGAAGTATTTAGCCAAGATTGAATATAAATACGAACCTTTGACGAAAGAGAGTTCAAAAGCAGCATCATTAAAGAAATTCATTTAAGGTTATTATATTTTGCGTACAGAAGTGCATAACTTCTTGACAACACAGCTTGACTTTCGAGTCAAGTCAATACTAGACTGGGTATACTTTGCGTTGTCATCTGTTATGCCCTATTACTCATTTACCCTATTGAATAAAATATCGATACTACCGGGTTTTCTCGCTCACATTCTTTAGCTGCAATAATATAATGTTTTTGATTTTATATTAATTAATCTTATTTTCTTCTATTATTACTTTTTTAACAGCGATTTACTGAGTTAGTACATTAGCACAAAACGAGAGGTGAATTCAAATTTATAACATTAACTTTCTGGTTCTTTCCTTCTACTAACTATATGATTTGACTTATACAGTACAGGTACGAAATTTCATTATGCTCATGTGAGAAATCATATTCCAGCAAGCAATTAGAGTCACGGAAACAAATTGCTTAAAAGCCTTTGCAACAACAATCGGAAAACGTTGAAAATGTTAACGATAAATGGCAAAAGACGAAACTACAAATTCTAAAGAGCCAAGATCAGAAATGACGAAACACGAACTCCGGGATATCCGCCAGAGCGCAGTGTAGAAGTCTATTACAGCCAGACCTCCATAATTGCAATTATGGAGAGTGCAATTATAGAGGTTTGACTGTATAAACCATCGGTTTCAGTTAGAAAAGGAACTCGAAACCAATCTCTTTTTTCGGTAAATTCTTGATGTAAATTTTGGTTTAGCTTTCTGTATTACGTTTCTAATCTGTATTGCCCTTTATAGTGATGAATCTGATGCAAGGATTAAGTTTGCTTGCTAAAACTAGAGGGTTGGCGTAACAGCGAAAAAAGTAAAATATGGCGAAACTATATTAAAGTCTTATTAAAAAGATGGCAAAAGTGAAACTTATATGTAAATAACGAAACTGCCGAAACTTTACCGAAACTATGATAGAACTATAATAAAATCTTTGGTGAAATTTATTGTATTGGAAAATTACTACAGTAAGGATAACATGTAATGATGACAATAATCCTGAACGAAAATTAATTGAATGACCGGTCAGAAGCCACAGAGCAGAACGATTATAATATGGTAGTTAAAAGAAGAAAACTTAGCCGCAAAATTCATTGTCATAAAATACTTGTCGTAAGTCTGGATGTTGATTTTGTTCTTTTTCTTCAAAATATTATCTGTTATTATATTATTAATTAATAAATTTGGATATATACTACATTCCAAATATTCGATATCAATAATAAATTTTCATCTATTATCACGTCCAAACCAGAATGGACAGTTTCTACGGCAATTACGTGTTTTACTTACAAGCTGTCTAAACTTGGGTGTTCTAAGTGTATCACGTCTAAGGCTTGCTTTTACTGATGGCAAACTCGGATTGCAAAGTTTGTCAAAAAACTTATCAAATGATTGCTGAAAAACCTTTCGTATTATTAGAAGGATTTCCATATCCTCAATAAAAGTCGATACTTCCTTCAAGGAAGTAGGAATTGCCACTTGTCCTATCTTAATCAAGATATAAATTCCCTGAACAAGATCCATCACATAAAAATCAATTGTATGATCTATAGAACAGATGTTCGAAGTTATTAAATAAAGAAGTTTCACAAGGAAACAACCCATTGTATTCCTTACCAATGCATTGGAAACCTAGCACCTTTATATCGGCACCCTTGCCTATGGCAGAATCCAGGCAATCTTTCATAAAAACACCAACACGAATTAAGTCATTACAATTCTTATACACATTGTTTTTTTCTGAAGGTGGGCTGACCTCACCCACGAATATAACACCATTATCCTGCAGCTGATGTATAATAGATACTGTGAAGTCCGGTTGTTTGCTTCTTCCTTGGAGTTTTCTCGCCTTGCTTTCATCAAGACCTGTATTGGGCCACTCAACAATGTGTTTATCTGGATTATGCAGCATTTTCATTATATGGTCTAGATGATTTGTGATCAGCGTTATTTCGCTAGGTTGATTTTTAATCTTTGTCGTGGGTAACGATCTCAAACACTCTAAGAATACAATGCCCAAGTTCTCCTTTAAGGCTTGATCGTTTGAAAGTTCCGTCCACAGCCAATCTACAGCACACTCACGTGACTCTTTAATTGCTTTCTTGGCCGCTTTCCTAAACTTTAATTCGCAATCAGGATCTAATTCTGATTGTTGTATCGAGATTACTTTTTCGTGTACTTCATCAAGTAAAGATGAACTAAATATATCAATCATCGTATTTGGGTGTGAGCCTGGAGTAAGAAGAAATATCGAAGACAGAGACAATATTTCATGTACATTTGATTCAACAAGTAAACCACCATTATTTGCAATCTTTAATGACTCATTTTGATACTTCCGGAATAACTGAGCCACATTAGTATCTCCTACTTTAAGATCATTTGCTGGGTCCCCCTCTTCAAAGCACAGTTCATCTACATCATCAATAATTATGACGTCATCCTCCTTATCTTCAATAAATGGATTATCCATTAGATGCAATTTTGGACTGCATGGTGATGGTGTGGTTTCCCTGTCTCGATGTAGCCTCTTTATCATACGTTCCTCATTGTAATTAATACTACGTTTTTTTCTTAAAAAAAGATCACTTCTGTCGGATACCGACTCATCCTAGATGATGTATCAAAGAAATTCGAATCAAATTATGAGTATTAAAGCAAGTGCATAGATTCAGAAAGCACGAATAAAAATGCTGACAATACTTTTTCTGGCAATTCTTCTGATTTTCCTGCATAACGCGATGAAAGTTTCAGTGTGTGAAAATCGCTAGACTTAATTAAAAGTTCACATCCATTTTTATCGAAACACTTTTCAAGTTCCCGTTCATTTCGCCTCTATGAATGATAAAATAATATTTAAAATAAATATGATAGGCTAAAATTCATAATTTATTTACCTCTTCAAACTCTCGATCCACTTTTTCAAAAAATTCAGTAATCTCTCTTCTTTGAAAAGTCTCATGGACATTATCGTATAATTTTTTCGCCTTTTTTGTTACCCTAGAATTTATAGTACAAGACTCACTAATTTTCTTAAAGACACTTGTAAATGCACTTAAGATCTCTTGTTTACTATCGGAAGTAAATTGTAAATGATTATGATCCTTCAGATAGTTAAGGCAGTTTAAAACATTCCAATCCTTATAATCCGTGTCCACTATACAAGTTAAAATGTATCGGTAAAAGTCCATATCTTCCAAATCTAAAAAAGATGTACTGTTAGTGTTCTGGAGATAATTATAATTAAAACGAATATTTTTATTGCGCGTTTAACAATATAGTATACTGGAAAAGAGGTCCAGGCGTTGGCACTAAGAGCCATTACAAAATAGCTATGTAACGAGTCATAGTGATATATCCTGCGACACTACTCCTCCAAGCATCGGCCAAAGGGCAAAGACCATAGGGACGTAGGATACTGATATTGTTAAGTACACTGGAAGAGAGGTCCAGGCGTAGACGCTAAGAGCCATTATAAAATAGTCATTAACAAGGTCATAGCGATGTATCCTGCGACACTACTCCTCCAAGCATCGGCCAAAGGGCAAAAACCATAGGGACGTAGGGTACTGTTAGCGCTATTTGTTTCTACTTTGAAATCGTGAAAATTACTTAACTGGATAGTATCCGCAGACGCGAAAAATTTGTCTGATCGCGCTTATCGCGCTTCGCGCACTTATTTTTTTGAAGTGTCACGTGACAATTAATATTCTTAAGGCCTTAACTTCAATTGGTCAAAATCTCGGTTAAAAATTTTTCGATAAAAGAACAATAAAATTATAAAATTATAATGTGTATATCATATACCAATTAGTTTAATATTCCATTTTCTTAATTGAAAATTCATATGGAAATTTTTATTTTTTATATGATTACAGTCGACTCTGGTTAACGAACCGAAACCTCTTTATACCAATATGGAATTCACTGATGATTCCGAGGACGTAGAACAAGATAACGAGGTCCTAGAGGAACCTGTCTTGCCTCCAAAGGAATCAACTGCACCTATTCCATTAGCCCATGTCTCTAACACTTCTGATAATTCCAAAGAAGAGGCGTGGTTTGATGAAGATATGTTTTTCAATGAGGTGAATCCCACTAAAGCGAACACTGTCACTTCAAACGATGATGTGTATTTTGATGAGACGAATGAAGTTAATACGCACGATGGTGACTCCAATTCATGTAATGATGACTCCGATTCCGATGATTCTGAAGAAGAGATCCCAGACGATTCAGATGATGATGGATATAATAGATACAGTGGATACGGTGGATATAATGAATATGGTGAATGTGATAGAGTCATAGAGGTTATTACTATCGTGACGGAAGATACGAAAGAAAATCCTTTCCAATGATGAGTCCTATTATATCCCCGGTAACCGCCTAGGAGAATTTTGCATATTTGGTACTCGATTGTCCTATAAGTTTATTACTACATTTCTTTTTTCCGAATCACGTGGGTGGCTTAGATATCATACGCTGACAGGCTTTCTAAATATATCATGCGCAGTAAGTACGTCATCTCTACTTCACAGCAGTATATGTTTTGCGCAGTAAGACGTCATTGAATAAAGAGTCTTCACAATTATCATATGACACAGCATGTATTGGCAAACTTTAGAAAAAAAACTAGAATAGATGAATATTGTTCGAAAAAATAATCATGTATAATAAATAGTCTAAAGTCATAGAATGGTATCATATACTCAGGGCTGGTCCCGCATCATATAATTTTTTTAGCAAATAAAAGACGTTTAGGCCACTAAGTGACCTGAGCAATGTAGTCAAATATTTTTCTCGTGGCAATTCAATGTACTGTACATACAGTGCTAATTTTTATTACTCGTATGTTAATACAGATAATTTAGGAAATCTGGATCGGCAAATTATTGGGCAATAAGATTGCCAGCGAAAATCCAGGGACTTTTATTCTCAAACTTTTTCTCAAAATTATTAATTCTTTTATTGTTATATTAAGGAGAGTCCGTTGATCAGATTCTCGCGATGCGATCATATTAACGTAATTTTCCCAAAAGCATATAACAAAATCGATCCTGTGAATTATATAAAAAGGTGATGACCTGGTTAGTGAATCCTTTTATCTGCCTTGTCCGAATAACAAACAAAAAATAAGCAAAACATTCAAACTTACCATAATTTACATCATCAATATTATCTCCAATCAAACAAACAAGTACATATATTCTGTAAAGTATTATAAAGTAAGTTAGTTTATTGCTCGGCTAGCTTCTTGAAACATGTCATCACGATCTTAATCGATTTTCCGCTATAGATGTTCCATAATAAAACGGACATATTGCTCTTCTTGTTATATATCGGCATTTTGATCTTCGCCGAGAAAATCACTGACCATCATCACACGTGCAGTGAAATTACTCACATGAATCTCGTCATATGCAATGGCACAGCAAAAGTCTGGCGCAGTGCATCATCTAATATAAGCACCTTCACGTGCCGAATTATTAAATCTTTGCGCAGTATTGATCCAAAAGCCAATTGCGTAATTAATCAACTAATCAATTTGTACGACAATCGATTTCTCATATCAATACGGCAATACCTAATCCCATTAATCCCATTGCAAATTTTTTCTTTTTCTGAACTGTACAACTGTCACCACCTTTTTTTTCGCCATGTCCGACAAAGTTGCAAGTGCAAGTACTTCTATTAGTGCTCCTACAGCTAGTCTCCCAACAGTTGAAGAAATTAATGAATGGACTCGAGATAGAGTTAAGGAATTTTTGCAAGAGAAGAGTTCTGAATTAGACTTTGAAGGCGAAGATATCAATATAATATATAATCAGAGAGTTAAGGGTGATACCTTACTTGATTTTACTGTTTTAGATTTTGAAAGATGGGAAATACCAGGTGCTCCAGCCAAAAAACTCGAAAGATTGCTTAAACAAATCAAAGGAGGTAAGCCAACTTCATTCTTGCTACACCGTGTCATATTTGCCAATAATACAAAATACTTACTTATTCTTGTGCTTTTCTTTCCCGCTTCTTATCGTCAAACCTGCCCAAAAAACACATTCGCGTTATCGTAGAGCAACCCAGTGGTAAGTGAGCCATAATAATTTTGGTCAACGTAAATAACGCATGACCTAGCTCTATTTTTTCGAGAGTCTCATGTTCTGATATCACACTTTCTATTTATAACCTTTATAAATAGTTAAGCAGACTTATGACCAAGCAGATTTAGCTGATAATAGTGCCAAAATCTGCGGAGAGCTTATTCAAAGATTCGAAACAATCCCAACCAAGGCGGAAGAACTTCAATCTCTTATTAATCGACAGCTTCTACGAAAATTGCCTGTGACTTCTGATGAGGAGCAAATTTATCCTGGAATAAAAGATTATGTCTGTACGACAGAGAATGAACGTCGAAGTACGATAGCGAAAAACATCAGTAGTGCTTTTACAATTGATATGAAATTCTCTGAAAACAAATCTGAGAGCATGTTACATTATCCGATAGATGCTATGATCAGAGTTCCACTCGAAACTTTTAATAAATATATTGGTGGAGCTTTACCCATTGAAATTGATCGAGATACTACTATGATAAGTTCAAAACGGCCTGATTTTCTATGCTGGACAAAAAAACTACTTCTATTTAAGGGTGAGGAGAAGGCAAGCTCTGGTGAATTTAACACGGCCGTAGAAGAATTAGAAGAGAAATTTAATGTACTTGATCCTATATGTTTTGGTAAAATTCAGTTTATGATCGGCTATGCTGTTGCGGGGTCAACTGTGCGATTCTATGCAATTGATGGTTCAATAGAAGCTAAGAAAAAACCAAGTATACTATCCCCGCTTACCAGCAAACTTAATGCTAGCAACCTTGTGGATAGATTTACTATTTTCCGCACAGTTGTAAACATTGCTCGTATCATTTTAACTATAAGTGACAACATCCCTAATACTCTTATACCTCTTGAAAAATGACAGAAATTAGGTCATTCTTTTATTACGTTTTTAAGCGATGTAGTTGAAAAGATTATTTTAAAGGTGGATCTCCCATATGCAACTAATGTGAATAATTGGGTGAATTTTTTTAAAAAAATGTATGATTATACTAGTAAAAGTCACCCAGGACTTGTCCAGGTTGAAAAAGGGCCTCTCTTTGACAAAGGTAAAGAGATATATAGGGTTGTGATGAAAACTTGAGGTATTCCTTGCGTGTCTAAACTGAAAAATAAAAATAATATACGGGAAATGATGAAATGTATTCTTACTGGGTTAGCCAGATTGCATCAAGGAAACTTCGTTCATCACGATATCTGATTACCAAATGTTGTTTATGTTCCTGAATCTCCCGATAAATTTAACTATGTCCTCATCGATTTTGAGCACAGATTTTACAATAGACGTACTTGTAATGAAAAATTGAGTGGATACGATGATAATACGCTTACAACTGCTGGCTGTTATACAACCACATCAGAAATGTACCAGTTGGGAAAGATGCTAGAAGCGCTTAATAGTCAGATAACATCAAATCAAGGGAAGGGTTTTGTGGAAAAATTAAAATCAAAAAAGTTGACAGCAGAGTTGGCACTTAAACACAGTTGGATCAATCATTCATCATGATGATTTGCTAGTATTTTTATTTTACAATATGCTTTTAGATATTTAGAAAATCTGCATTTTTTTCAATCATAACAAATAATTAGATTACTGATAATATAATAATAATATATGTAAAAAATCAATTGTATTTGTTGTATAAATTTAATTGCATAGCAATAAAGCTTTATTACTGATTTTTTTTACTGTATGTGGGTAACAGAATAATAAAGTGATTGGAGTTATGCTCTAACAAAGCATAGCAGTCACCTACCAGAAGATATTTGGTAAAATTCTTGCTGAAGAATAGGCTGTGTGATATAAGATTAGCATATATATATATTTCGCATTAATTTTTTCTAAGTTTATTTTTTGCGTCATGTCTCTTTCTGGTTCACGCTACTATTATTATAGATGCTGTCAGAATTATTTTTACGATTACGGCACGTGCCGTAACGCCGTAATTAAATGCCGTAAATCGTAAACACTGTGATGCCGTAATGCCATAATTGAATTTAACGCCGTAATGTCGTAAATATATATGCCGTAAATGAATAAGACTAAACTTAAGTTCGTAATGCTGGGTCAATTTTTTCGCGTTTCATCACGTGACGTTATACAGATTTCCAAAAAATGAAATTATATCCCTCAATAAAATTGAATAATAGGTTGCACAAGGTTACACGAGTTTCCAAAAAAGGAAACATTCCTGTCGATCGTTTAGCATTTGTAAAAGTCACGTGATAATGATTAATTACGGCGTCACATTACAGTTACGGCATTATTTACGACATATGTCGTAATGCCGAAATGTCGTAATTAGGAATCACTGGTCAAAATAGTCCAAATCGGCCAAAATTCAACCAGCCGATTTTAGGCTAATTTATGGTCTAATACTGGTCGAACTTTAGCTGATTTTTTGGCTGCAGTTCGCTGCCACTCGCCTAAAGTTCGACTTGAAATTTCGGCCAAAATTCAGTTAACATTCGGAACAATTTCAGATAGCAAATTTTGGTGAATAGTTTTCCGAATGTTACTTAATTTATGTTGCAAATTTGTACTAAATTTATTTACTAATATTCAGCCACAACTCATTTTATTTAATATTCGCAATAAATCACAACTTTATTTATAAATGCATATTACAAATAAGTATTACTAATCTACAATTCCACAATCACATAATTCATGTATTCGTATATACTTACGAATCTTGATCTTTTAGAAACCCACCGAAACTATAAAAAAAAAGAAAAGAACGGTTAGTAACCGTTCCATAATATTAAAAAAAAGCAAAAAAACCTAAGATTCTACTTACGAATCATTGGTTTTTTTCTGTTTATCAGAACCCACCCGAGACACCAAATCTATAAAAAGAAAAAAAAAGAGCGGTTATTAATAACCGTTCATAATAATATTAAAAAAAAATAAAAAATAAACCAAGATTCGTAAGTACGAATCTTGGTTCCACTTTTCTAAAGATCCCGAAACCTACAAAAAGAAAAGAA